CCCTCAAAGGGATTTAAACAATGAGTGTATATTTGAACAATGCACCTTACTTTGGTCTCATAGGCCACATAAGTTACTTAGAAAAGAAAAATATTGGAAAATACAAGAAACCCTCGAATTGGAGTCAATAAAAGAATACCGGGTGGGCGGAATTTGCCGCTGTTGCCATACACCGCTCATTTTCTGCCAACTTTGTGCCTCTGTATCTCGGTAAGTACTGATGGCAAAAAAAAATTTTTTAGGCTTAAAACACTCAGTAAAATAATCCTAACATTTTGGTAAGAAAAAAATTTTTTTTTTAATATTTTGTGACATAGAATGACAGTTTCAGAGAGGGGCCTGCGACAGTCAAAGGGTTAAGACACTGGTATAACAATCTCATCTTTATCCACCACGATCACCATTATTGACCACCCACTCTTCCCTATTAGTTTGTGAAATCGAGAGTTTACTGTATTTGCTCTATGGGAAATTTTGATTTAAAAACCAGTCAGACTAATACCATACAATTTACAAATCATACATTTAAATCACCTAAATAGTACGTTAGTAGTAGACAGCAACTGCCCAGGGAGGTACTACTGTCCTGCCATATGAGTGTAAAATGAAAACCTGTAATTGTTTTACATGGTGGTAGGATTGCTGGTGTTTTTTTTTCTGCCTCATAAACATGAAAGATTTCAGGTATGTCTTGCTACTTCTACCTACACTTAGGTCACACTACACATGAATGTACAAGCATATATACACACACCCCCCTCTGGGTTTTCTTCTATTTACTTACTAGTTCTTGTTCTTGTTAATTTCCTCTTATTTCCATGGGGAAATGTAACAGAGTTCTTCCTCCTTAAGTTATGCGTGTCATAGGAGGCGACAAAATGCAGGGAACAAGAGGCTAGTAACCCCTTCTCCTGTATACATTACTAAATTTAAAAAGAGACTTTAATTTTTCTTTTTAGATTACCCTGCCTCGGTGGGATGTGGCTGGTTTGTTGAAAAAAAAAAATTAAATCAGGTACTCATCATAATAACTAAGTAGTAGTGATCCAAAGGTCAAGTTTCTCATACTATAATACCACACCATTTTGTTTGTAAGTGCACAACCCACCATTATACTGATAAGCTTTTTTTTCTTTGTAAACACTTATATGTTGCAATTTGGAAGGTCCTCTGAACTGTAATGTCAGTGTATGTCTGGCAAGACAATGAATGACAGTAAAAGTGGTTTCTAGTTTATTGGGTCACCCTACCCTGGTGGGAGACAGCCGAAGTGTTAATACAACTCATAAAATAGTGTCATGCCTAGCGTACATTGCACCTCTACTACAATACTACTGTTTATGAACTCCTTGTGGGTAGAAATCCAAGTACAGTGGCACCTCGGTTTTCATCTTTAACCCTTTGAGGGTTTCGGCCATACTAGTACGGCTTATGACCCAGGGTTTTTGACGTACTAGTACGCCTAAATTCCAGTGCCTTCAAATCTAATGAGAGAAAGCTGGTAGGCCTACATATGAAAGAATGGGTCTATGTGGTCAGTGTGCACAGTATAAAAAAAATCCTGCAGCACACAGTGCGTAATGAGAAAAAAAAAAACTTTGACCGTGTTTTTGGAATAAAACAGCGAATTTGCACTGTATTTTCCTATGGTATTTATTATTGTATTCTAGTTTTATTGGTCTCATTTTATAGAATGGAAGACATATTACAGAAATTGAGGCGATTTTGACTGGTTTTACAATGAAAAGTACCTTGAAATTGAGCGCAAAGAAGCAGAAATGTTCGATTTTTATCAAAGTTCAAAAGTAAACAAATCATGCCAAGCGTCCAATACATGTCAACTGGTGAGCCTAATATTCTTTCACAAGTGCGCTGATATTATTTATACCATTTTTACACTAATGCAGTAGTCTGCATAACAGTAAATCTTCTATTTTTTGTAAGAATAAAAATTCAAAATGGAAAGCCAAAGAAATATAAGAGAGGCCTGGGGATGTGACTAACGAACAGAGAACTTGTTATTTTAGTGCCAGGAATGTCTTTTTTGTTTATTCTGGACCCTATTCGGAAACTGGCATCTTTTGAAATTTGTGTGAAATTGGCAAAATTGCTAAACTCTGACCACTTTATTGGATGGTTGAAATTGGTAAATGGGTGTTTCTTGTACTCATTCGATAGAAAAAATGGAGTTCTAGCGAAGTAGTTATGATTTTTGTCGACTAGTACATTGGAATTGGTCGAAAATAGGGCTCAAAGTGGGCAAAATCGCTGATACATAAACATCGTCAAGACCGCTAACTTCGTGAGAGCATAATTCTGTAAGTTTTCCATCAAATTTCATACTTTTGGTGTCATTATGATCGGGAAAAGATTCTCTATCTTTTCATAAGAAAAAATAATTATTTTTTTTTGGAAATTTGGCTGACCCTGAGAACAAGTTTCAGAGAGGGCCTCTTGACCCTCAAAGGGTTAATTCGTTCCAGAGAGCCTGATGAAAACTGAATTCGACGAAAACTGAAGCAATATTTCCCATAAGAAATAATGTAAATCCAATTAATCTGTTCCAGACACCCAAAAATATTAAAAAAAAAAAGTACATTTTATAGAGAATAACTATAGTTTAACATACAGAAAACAATGAGAAATAAACATAATGCACTAATGAAATGGATAAATGAACATTTAAATCACTTTTACCTTTATTGAAGACTCTTGTTGGTACATAGAAGATGGGGAGTAGGGGAGAGGGAGGAGAGGTTATCTTTACAACCATCACTACCATCCTCTACCACAATCACAGCCACTACCACCATCACTACCACCCTCACTACCATCACAACCACTACCACCTTTACCACCATCACAACCACTACCACCCTCTACCACCATCACAATCACTACTAACCTCTACCATCATCACTACCACCCTCTACCACCATTACTACCACCACTGAATTCTATCGTGTTTCTCGCCTTCTTTATCAAAGGACTGGCACTCGGAACTTTCTTTAGCTCCATGGTGGCTTATCTAGCAGTTGCACTCAATAAACAAGCACAAAAACAATGGATTATTACAAAATGTTTCATATGAATGCACAGGGTAATGTTCGCTCAATGAGAAACAAAGCCAGACTGACTCAGAATACGTGTGTGGGATGCTTTGTGGGGGTGCTGGCAGATGGACATGTTCGGTATGGCAGATGAAAACCGAGGTGACGAATGAAAACTGGGACAATATATTGACAAAAAATGTCTTTGAAAACTGAATTCAATGTAAACCAGGACAAACAAAAACCAAGGTTCCACTGTATACAAATCAATAACGGCTATGTCTTTGCAAGCCAATACCAAAACTGCTTCACTAAGTATTGTTGAATACCATGGTAGTCAAATCACTGAACGGGTGGGTCTCAAATACATGGTAGGCAAGTTCTAAAACTTGCAGGCCAGTGTGCCTTTAGGACTTACCTGTTGTTGCAAACCCAGAAAGAAACAAAAGGAGAGGTGGTTGACTGAGCACTTAGATGCTGCTAATCAGCAGTACCTAAGTGCCAGCAGTATCCAGTGTGACGTCATCACACTCAATGTCGGGGCTGACGAACCAGCCTCAATCAGTATGTTCAGCACGACTCACTGAGTCTGACGGCCTCAGAGTTACCTGACGGCCTCATTCAGTGTGTTCACCACGGCTTCACTGAGTCCACAGTTTGACGGCCTCAGAGTTACCTGACGGCCTCACTGTACACCAGCTTGACTCTTCTGGCATAATGACTGGACTTAGTTTCCTGCTAGCTTGGCATCAGCTGGACTTAGTATTGGCTGACCAGTATGGCCTTATCCCACGACAGTGTCACTGAGAGCAATGTCAGTGTCAGACACGGAAAGAAAGTTGTGTCATGTGGACACGGACGAAGTGTTATAACACAGAGAAAAGGGTATCATGTGACGCAGTAGAGAAGGTGTGTAGAGTTACACGGAGAAAAGGGTGTCATGTGGACACAGCAGAGATGGTGTGTTATAATGCAGAGAAAAGGGTGTCAAGTGACACAGTAGAGAAGGTGTGTTATAACGCAGAGAAAAAGGTGTCGTGTGACACAGCAGAGAAGGTGTGTTATAACGTGGAATGTCATGACACTGAGAGATGGTAGAGTAATGGTGTCATGTGACACCGAAGAGAAGATAGGTTATGACACGGGTGTCGTGTGCGATGTTTGTAATGTTCCATGTCAGCAGATAGTTACTATGTCGGTAAAGATTAGTTGTGTTGTGACATTGTTTCTTTGTAAATGTGATAATTCTGTACCGAAGAGAAATGATACCAAAGAATATACTTTTATGTTATACTAAAGAATGCTCTTATTTTATGCTAAAAATTTACTAGTAAAGATTTAAAAATAGTATATGTGTTTTGTACTCCCGGTCTATATTCTTATTACAGTTCTGGTAATGGGCTGATAAATACAATACCTTAATTAACAGGCCAAGCATTAGTTTATTTCCCTAGAAAGCTTAATCACCAGAACTGTAATATTGTAATACCTGTCATGGATTAGAATTCCACCCGTTATGTGATTTGTTTGCAATAATGTTATTTAAATTTTTGTAAGTATTGGTAGTGGCTGCAGCAAGCCACATCTATCCCAAACTTTGAAGAGAAAGCCTTGGATGACATTCTCCTCCATACTGGACCATTTCTGAACCAAGCAACGGCTGTTGCTTGATAACGGTCTAATGTCAAGCTGCAACCCCTAGCCTATTGCAAGAAAAAAAAAAGCCACAGGTTTGGCTTCCCTGTGGTTATGGTCCACTTTTTGCCATGCCAATATACTATACCTGTGACTGGATTCATGGGTTCTTCTATCTTATAGCCCTGTCTTAAGTCAGGCTTTCTTGCTGATTCCTGGTTAACCAGACTGTTACTGTTAGCAGAGCAAAGGTAAGTCCATGAATGCTTAACTACTGAACAAATGCACAGAAAGGGAGAAGTGATGATTGCACACCTGTAATAAACTGCATGAAGTATAACACCAGTGAGGTAACTTATAGCACACAACACAGCCGAGATGATGATGAAGGTGTTGTCATATTTCACCTTGTCCAAGCCCACGATGCCCAACGACAGCAACACAAGGTTCTCTATGAATGCCAATATCAGAAACAACACCTGGGGGAAAAACATACTTCTATTAGTGTTATATTCATTGGGATATACTAAGCCCTTAGAGGCCACACAAAACTCAGGAAATGTGAGGTGATTATTGTATTCATAGGAAAACACTAAGCCCACAGGGTTCATACAATGTTTGAAGAATAAGAGATTCAATTTTAATCACAAGGGAAAGGTAACAACAGTTCCTTGGATCAATAACCTTCGCCAGAACTTGGGAACCCCTTTAAAGACAAATAACTTATTCTATTTCTTTACCAGCCTTACACCAAAGAAATGGAAGGAAGGCATGGTAAGGGCTGGCCTAGGAAAGGTTGGAGGGAGGGGGTAAGAGAAATTTTGTGCGCGAAAGGCTTGGATTTCCAGCAGGAGTGCATGAGTGTTAGATAGGAGTGAGTGGAGATGAATGGATTTTATGACGATGTTGGAGTGTGAGCAAAGTAAAATTTATGAAGGGATTCAGTGAAAACAGTTAGCAGGACTTGAGTCCTGGAGGTGGGAAGTACAGTGCCTGCACTATGAAGGACAGGTGTTGATATGTTGCATTTTTTAAATTATAGTTTTAAATTGTAGTGTAAGCATGTCTCTGGCAAGATAGTAATGGAGTGAATGATAATTAAAGTGTTTCTTCTTTTTCAGGTCACCCTGTCTTAGTGGGAAACGTCTGACATGTTAATAAAAAAATAAAAAATCAAAGCAGCATTTCCAAGTAACTATACGACTCAGTTGGGTATGTAATTTCCAATCATGCCCCCTTGTTTTGACTTTATCCCTGGTACAGGTTACCAGGCCACGGTGCCCCATGGCCTGGTGGCAAAAGCTCTCGCTTCACACTGTGAGGGTCTGGGCTCGATTCCCGGCGAACGGGTGGAAACGTTGGACGTATTTCCTTACACTGGATGTCTATGTTCACCCATCAGTATACATAATGGGTACCTGGGTGTTAGTCACATCCTGGAACAAAACTGACCTAGTCTGCAGGAAATGCTCTGCATAACAAGTGGCTATTTATATAGTAGTATGTCAGTGATGTCAGCTATGATCTGCATACCTTGTATATGTACTTGTAGTAAATAAAGATATTATTATATTATATTAAACAATCTCTGTATTTGTTCCAGCTCTGATATTTCTCCTGCTTTGAATTGGGCTGTCAGCACTGAACAATATTCTAAATGAGGGAGCACTAGTGATCTGAAAAGAGTCCCCACTGGCATTATTTCCCTCATTTTGAAAGTTCTCAATATCCACCCTGTCATCCTCCTGGCTGTCATGATCTTTGTCTTGTTATGGATTTTAAAAGAAAGGTCAGCTGACATAATTATTCTCATACATTCCTGTAGCTTGATTTCTAGTGCATTCAGTTCACATACTGAGGTCTGTGGTTTGATCCCCGGTACTTGTGGAAATATTAGGATGCATTTCCTGAAGACACCTACTGTCCCTGTTCACCTAGCAGTAAAATAGGTACCTGGGTGTTAGCAGACTAGTGTAGGTTGCATCCTGGAGACAAACTTAACCTAATTTGCCTGAAAAGCTCTGCATAATCTTATTATCCTCATAACCTTACTCTTTCCTGTATTCACTTATAATTTTCTTCTTTTGCACACCCTACCAAATTCATCCACCAATCTCTGCAACTTCTCTTCAGAATCTCCCAAGAGCACAGTGTCATCAGCAAAGTGGGAGTTGTCACAGCTGCTCTTTGCTGATGACACTGTGCTCTTGGGAGATTCTGAAGAGAAGTTGCAGAGATTGGTGGATGAATTTGGTAGGGTGTGCAAAAGAAGAAAATTAAAAGTGAATACAGGAAAGAGTAAGGTTATGAGGATAACAAAAAGATTAGGTGATGAAAGATTGGATATCAGATTGGAGGGAGAGAGTATGGAGGAGGTGAATGTATTCAGATATTTGGGAGTGGACGTGTCAGCGGATGGGTCTATGAAAGATGAGGTGAATCATAGAATTGATGAGGGGAAAAGGGGGCACTTAGGAGTCTGTGGAGACAAAGAACTTTGTCCTTGGAGGCAAAGAGGGGAATGTATGAGAGTATAGTTTTACCAACGCTCTTATATGGGTGTGAAGCGTGGGTGATGAATGTTGCAGCGAGGAGAAGGCTGGAGGCAGTGGAGATGTCATGTCTGAGGGCAATGTGTGATGTGAATATAATGCAGAGAATTCATAGTTTGGAAGTTAGGAGGAGGTGCGGGATTACCAAAACTGTTGTCCAGAGGGCTGAGGAAGGGTTGTTGAGGTGGTTCGGACATGTAGAGAGAATGGAGCAAAACATATTAACTTCAAGAGTGTATCAGTCTGTAGTGGAAGGAAGGCGGGGTAGGGGTCGGCCTAGGAAAGGTTGGAGGCAGGGGGTAAAGGTTTTGTGTGCGAGGGGCTTGGACTTCCAGCAGGCATGCGTGAGCGTGTTTGATAGGAGTGAATGGAGACAAATGGCTTTTAATACTTGAGGTGCTGTTGGAGTGTGAGCAAAGTAACATTTATGAAGGGGTTCAGGGAAACTGGCAGGCCGGACTTGAGTCCTGGAGATGGGAAGTACAGTGCCTGCACTCTGAAGGAGGGGTGTTAATGTTGCAGTTTAAAAACTGTAGTGTAAAGCACCCTTCTGGCAAGACAGTGATGGAGTGAATGATGGTGAAAGTTTTTCTTTTTCGGGCCACCCTGCCTTGGTGGGAATCGGCCAGTGTGATAATAATAAATAAAATAACAAGGATCTTTTCTATATGGTAGTATGTCACTGATATCAGCTAGGTCTGTGTACGTTTTACATGTACTTGTAGAAATAAAGATTATTCTTATTCTTATGGATAATATTCTTTGTTTCCACTGACTCCTCAGTGCACTTTTTTCTTCATCAATTCTATGATTCACCTGCTCTTTCACTTCCTCCATACTCCCTCCCTCCAATCTGATATCCAATTTTTCATTACCTAATTTTTTTGTTATGCTCATCACCTTGCCCTTTCCTATGTTCACTTTTAATTTCCTTCTTTTAAGTACCCTACCAACTTCTGCAACTTCTCTTCAGAATCTCCCAAAATGCACAGTGTCATCAGCAAAAAGCAACTGTGACAACTTCCACTCTGTGTTAGATTCTTTATCTTTAAATCCCACGCCTCTTGCCAACACCCTAGCATTCACTTCTCTCTACAACTCCATCTATAAATATATTGAACAACCACGGTGACATCATACATCCCTGTCTAAGGTCTACTTTCACTCTCCTACATACTCTGCCACATTGCTTCCCTATCATGTGCCTTCTGCAAATCCATAAATGCAACGAAAACCTCTTTACCCTTATCTAAATACTGTTTGCCTATATGTTTCACTGTAAACACGTGGTCTACACACCCCCTACTCTTCCTAAAGCCTCTTCATTCATCTACAATCCTGCTCTCCATCTTACTCTTAATTCTTTCCATAATAATTCTATCATACACTTTACCAAGTATACTCAAGAGGCTTATTTCCCTCATTATATCCTCATTATTTGCTTATCTAAAGGTACAAGACCTTTGTAGATTATGTGTAAATACTATACTGTAAAACAGATAATTATCAATAAAGGAGCTTATCAACTGCCATGCAAAATTCAGGAACTTTTTAAAAAGATCCACTTATGTTAATTGCCAGTAAGATAGATTTTTTTTTATTAAAGAAATGTGCATTATCCAAGCAGATTGATCTGTTAATTCTTTTAATAAAAACTCCTCATACAGATAATGTTTTATCTGTTACAAACCACCCAGGGAGGTACTACCGTCCTGCGAAGTTCTCAGTAGTATCAGCTCCCAGTAGTACCAGTTACCAGTAACCAGTTACCAGTAGTATGACTCACTACCAACCGTCTGTGTGAATCACTGTTGTCATGTGGGGGTTCGATAACGTGGATTGGGTAAGAACACTCACGTAGGCTGGTTAGTACGTATAATTATAACGGAAAGTGTGGGAAGCACCATCAGCCGCCCTGCCTCTCTGCTCTCTATCTTAAGACTGACCCACCAGTGAAACCTAGGGGGTGAGCAGGGTTCAAAAACTTGCTATGGTCAGCAGCAACGTGAATAACAAGTGATTCACACAGACGGTTGGTAGTGAGTCATACTACTGGTAACTGGTTACTGGTACTACTGGGAACTGATACTACTGAGACCTCGGCAATGCTAACGTATGTCGTCCCGACATACAGCTAATACAAACTAGAGACGGCAGGCGTAGGGCTTGGGCTGATTCTATACAATGTCAAAGTTCACACAATTGAACATTATAACATACATAAGTAGAATATTGGAATGGAAGCTTACGTAATTGACTATAATGAAACTTACTGTAATGAAACTGTAATGCATTACAAGGTATGATATAGCACAACTCATCGAATGAGACTCAACATTGGGATTACACAATAGAAGTGATAAAAAAAAATTTGATCGATCGATCTGTATTCATGTGATCTACGGATTCTGAGGAAGAAATACATACAAAGAAAGAAGTGTTTAACAGAAAGGCAGACTTGGTGCACTCAAATCTAGACTGTTAAATCTCAGAATTCGGAGAGAACGTGAACACAAAAAAAAATCTTGAATATTGATAAGTTGATACTGTAATTATTCATCTATACAGGTTATTTACATTTAACCCCAACTCTGCTAGGGTGAGATTGACATATGCAGAATGGGTGTCATCTCTGGGAGGATCAAATTCTGTTGCACTGGCTAACTCATGCTGTGTTTGAGGCAGATCTGAATTTGTAGTTACAAATGATACTTGAGGATTTCTCAATACCTGTCGTGTACGTAGGGAATAACGACATTCAGGTTGATCATCTGACTGAGTATCAGAGGTAGAGAGTACAGGATCAGGAGGATTGTCAGAGTCTGTCACATTAGTCTGGGTTGGAACATCATTATTATCACATACTAACTTCATATGATCTAAATGCGATTCTTTATACTGACCAGTGCTAATTTCTCAAACCTTAT